GAGGTTGAACTTTCTGTCATGAGACTGATTATGTAATGTCAGAAATATATGTTTGATTCTGGTTTCAATCCAAACGTATCAAGCCTAAAATCTTTTCATATTTTTCAGTTTGTTAGATTTTGTATAGTTTATGTGGTATTGTTCTTGTCTAACTAGAAACCTGATTTTAAGAGCTTACTGTAGATAAATTAGGCTGGAATTCCTTTTTAAAATTACTAAAATTACTAAAATATAAAAAAAAAAGTAATTTCATTAACCGTAGGGGAGTTTTTATGAAACATGGAAATGTAATAATGTCATTAATACTAACTACGTAGGTAACAAAATATATTAATTTAAAAGTTTGGAACAGAAGAACGAAGATAACGCAAATTACAGGATGCCTCAAAGCATAAGCCACAAAAAAGTTGAGTAAACGCAAAGAAGTTGACACAGTAGAATGTTCAGTATCTCTTTCAATGACAAAACTTTTAAAACGCATTCAAATAGCGTTTATGTATCATAAAAGAAAATTAGAAACGCGACTTGCGTTTTCTGCCGGTATACTTGGAATCAGCAGGAACATCGTTTCCTTTTCTTCGACTTTGCTCTTTCTTCTTCAATATCCATTCCCTTCCTTTCCCTTTCTTGTTCGGTTTCTGCCTTTTTCTTGGCCTACTATTCCTATCAGATACATTAACCTTCATTGCAAACAAACAAAAATCAAACCGATAATAGTAAATAAAACTTCGATATTAAGGTACTCTGACTTATGATATTTACCATTCCATTCTCTTCGTCTTCGCTATCGTCATCCTCTGAGCAACTCTCTTTATACCCATCATTAATACTTGTTGGAACAGAACCACATGCGAGGACCAAGAACTCTTTTCTTTTCTTAGTACTGCAGTTTAGAGAATATCCCAAGTGTTGCTGTGATCAGATGCGAAACCAAAAACCCAAAACAGCTTCTACGTAAGACCAAATGACTGTACCTGTGCGGATAGTCAACAACAAGTCCACCACCAAATCCAGCTTGTAAGGCCTGCCGAAGAATCAATTCACGCTGAGCAATATTCTCAGGGTACACTTGGAAAACTGCCCTTGCTCCTCTTGATAAGCATCGGTATAGTGACCCAAAGAAAGCCCTTTAGAAAGTGAGAGGTCAAAGATCAGTTTTGTAGCACTATATATATTATTGATTCAGACTAAAGTAAAAATGATTTTATACATACTTTAGCCTCAAACGAGGTTCATGCGATGACTTGTCTGCATTGCATAACCACTGAAATCAGGTAAAAACAAAGAAATGGTTGAACAATAAACATAAAATTCCAAAAAAGTATACTATGAGGTAAACAATGAGTATACATTACAAAGAATCATAATTCTTGGATGAGCAAGAATGATAAGGTAGTTTCAGAAGTAAGACCTGAACAGCCGAAATACTGATGGCTCCATCTATAACTCCTGGACGAAGACCTAAGCCCTGAGACATAATGACAAGCAATTGCTAATATGTCACCATTTATCTTTTCAAAGGATATAATCCTGCAGCCACACAAAAAAAAAAACTTGAGAGAACGATAAAAAGTGAAGACACATACCTGCCCCATGTCACCAAGTAAAAGATCACCCTCAACTTCTCGTTCCACAGCAACGTCTACATTTTGATTGAAGACAAAATGGGCTTAGAGATCTACGAGAGACAGGGAATGAAGAGAAGAACTCTTCACTAAGAAAGTAGTCATCAAACTAATAATTAACTTACTAAGCATTGAGGCTGAAATATCAAGACCAATCCAGTGGTGCCCGTTTTCAGAGAGTGTTTCCCCGCTCAGGCCAGATCCACAACCTGAACCACAGTAGAGATTAGTCATTCTGGGACAAAACTAAAACAGATAAGTGTACTGTACAACGAGATACTAAGGTCAAAAATAATTGATGATCTTAAAGAAGGAATCTTAGGATATGAGTATGACTACATCCATTGACAATCCCGAAACCTGCTAATCGGATTTAGATACAAAATTTCAACTTTTGAAATATTTGTTTGATACACACAGATTCTTTTGTTCTTCGACTCAGTTGATACGCAGGGAGGAGTTTATAAAAGATCCAAACACTACACATACCTAAAGGATATACGAATTGGGCAACAATTTACCAATAAATGAAACGTGCAACAGCAAAATCTAGAAAACAAGCATTACAATATACGTAAGCAAATGAAATTTTTACCAATGTCGAGTAAGAATCTAGGAACTCCATCATCGGGCAAAGCAAGAAGCTCCAAAGCTCTCTCTGACAACTTCGCCTATAACCCAAAAAAATGTTTAAGCAAGAGTGATAGAAATGCTAAATTCAGGAGAAATTAAAAAAACCAAACCTGAATTTCCACGATACGTGATGAAGAAGTATACTTCCGAGCTTCGGTTTCGTCATAGAATATCTCCGGCGGCGCGAGCAGCTCAGGCCGATTCGACATTGCAAGACCGGTTTCCGATTGGTGTGCAACGAAATTAAGGTTTTCTACATCACAAACGATCAAATTCCGACACATAAATTTAGATGCCGACCAGTTACAGATTAAATCCCGACTAATCTACGAAAAGAGTTTCTACAAGAACAGAGACAATCAGAGGGTTTATCAATCTCTATACCTCAAAATCAGCATAAACCTATAACACTCACAGTTGATCTAAGAGGAAAGATTGAAGAAGGTTCTTCTAACCTAAGAACTGAATTTGAGAGGAAGAGAGAAGAAACAAAACGCGGCGCTGAGTGACGAAGAAGAAGAACACAGGTAAGGG